GGTATCGGAAAACACTAGATCGTATCTGGGAGTTTCTTGGCACCCATCATATTTGAATATGTCTGGGAGAAGGAAATAACGGATTTTTCATCAGCGAGTGGTACGTTTATCGGTCGTGGTTTCGATAAATTGGGTGAGAATTTGCCAATGCGATAACATTTTATTGTATCAATGGGAAATCCGGTTTCACCAGACGAAACACGTTAGAAACAATCAACTTTTCATGATTCACTCTGTTAACTGAATCAACATCCTTGCATTCATTCACTCTAAAAATGATAAAATTCTTCTTACGACTCTCACGTTCTAACATTTCAACACTCATACGAAGTCAGTAGCAATAATACCAACTTTTTTAGTATAATCTCCGCTTAGAGGGCCTAGAGAAATGGATCGACGAAAATTTCAACACCTGATTCATAAAAAAAATCACTTTCTCAGTCCACTATTATTTATCAAATTTGAAAAAATTACAATCGCAACTCGAATAAAAGATGAAACCATTTATGAAATCTAAAATGTCCCTGGATGGGATGAACAATGCAAAAAAAAGTAGAGATGTCCAAGTGGTGGAGGGGGATGTTGACTAGCGTATAATATGGCAGTAGCGTACCCATTCTTGGCGACCGGAGGCAACTGCGCCCCTTGATGCCCGGAAAATATCAATTTTTCACTAGCGCCGATGCCTCGACAACACCTTCTATTGAATCATATCCTTACTCCGTTTTAGCCTGCAAAACTTTATTAATATAGGTATCCTGCTTAGTTCTCATACAAATCAAACAGAGCTATTAATCCATACAAATGGTATGGTCAAATGCGGTCTGCATTAATTGTCTGCGTAGTGAGTTGGCGTCAACTCAATCGAGTGAGGAGCGAAGGGGCAGGGGACACATTATTCGTAACAGGTTCACGATGTGGCATATTTCGTGTACCTCAGTTACATAATACTGAAATTTCTTATCAAAACTCAAAGTACTTCGAAATAACCATAATCTTTCTTGTCGATTTTTCCCTGAATATGAAGGAAAGCATATTCATCCGTCATTTAAAACGGTAATTGTGTTATTGATTAGCAACTAGTTGTTTAATACGTTAATGTAATGAATTCAATGGAGTGGATAATACTTTCGGCGCATTTCAATAGTAAATAATAACGCCTTTGACTGGAATCCATTTTTAGGATTTTTTTCATACATTGGAAAATTTTCAAAAATACCAATGAAAGAATAAATGTAAAGTGAATCGGAGTAACGGATAAAGAATATGAATCAGAGTCCTTTATTGTCAGCATGCGGGCGAGCGGGCTATAAATCTCTCGGTGATTCGTTTCGCGTAATGGTATACGGGTATTATATGATCACTGATACTATCGGAGTGTAAACTGATAGTCCCGAAGTGTGCGGTACCGCCTGATAATGTTGGATAAATTTGCAAGAAGTGTAAAGGAAGCAATGTAATCAATGTACTATTCGTTTCTTTTTATCATTTAAAGTGCTGGAATCCTAATTGTAGACTATTCACACTGTCTATTACTCGTTCCTGACAAAATTATTCCTCTATCTATGGAATATAGGTGGACATGTGAAGAGTTATTTTCTATTTGAAAATTGTTGGTTTTCCAAAGACGTCTCTCTGCATTAATTCCCAACAAAAAGCATCAGTCAATGAGATGTTCATTTGATTAATAGAATTTAGTTTGGCCTTTAGATGTTTTGTTTCTTCCACACCAATAACTTCCATGGTGCAATAGAAATTATGAAACAATTTCATTCTAAAAATTTGAAAAATTCACGACATTTATATGAAATTTGACGCATAACTCCGGACACTACACACTGGTCAGGCAAAATCAGAAAAGAAATGTCTATTTGCGATCAAGTGAAGAAGCAAATTTCTTTACCCTGTTTGTCAACGGCGCTTTCCGGATACGAAGTGTCTGAAGTGTTACGAAGTGTTTCGTACTAAATCCCATTTTATGAATAACATGATGAAGCCTATTGTCGTCATAAGGCAGAAAAAACTTTTCTTATGAGTTCGAGGGTTGCAGCTTAAGGCAAATCCGAGGAATGCAATCACATGAGTCAGAAAAGTGTTTACGGCCTAATGACGAACATAATTTTTCTTCACAATGTCCATTAACGAAGTATCCGTAAAATGTCGTTTTACGGCCATTGTGAAGAAAAATTACGTTCGTCACTTTATCGAAAACAACTTTTCTGACTCGAATGCTTGCATTCCACGGCTTTGCTTTGGTCTGCAACAGTCACACTCATCAGAATTTTTTTTTTGGCCTTGTGACATAATATACTAGTTGGTCGCTCGACCGGAAAAACATTTTTGACTCGTCCGATTGCAGTTTTCACACTCACCTGAAAAGTTTTTTCCCGCTCTGTGACAAAAATACACATCTTGCCATATCCCTTGACCTCGGAAATTGCTCGAATACTTCCTCATATTTTTCTTGCATATCCACTTTTATGATAAGCTCAATCTGCAAAACTGATTCCTTCGATGTTACACGAGAAATTAATACCTCGAACCGTTCCATAATTTTATGCATCTTGGAAAACCATAGCTGATAATTATGTATTCCATAGAATAATATCAAGAGGCCTTATGCTACAGAACACCTTGAATGAGCTCCATGGACAATTCGTAACATTTGGAATTATTCCAAATTATTTGATGAAAAAAAAATCAAATTTGGAAAAATTGACAAATAATGAACGGTGCTGCTTTAAGGTCATATGTAGCATAATCATCTCATAATTTAACAAAATTATAATATTTGAAGATTAATATGGCCCACCTAGGAATGACCGGCCTGGAGAAATACGCTTCGAAAAATTAACTTCTTCTCCCAAGACAATGATTCTTTGGTAAAAGTAATTGTTTTTCTTAGTGTATATGCACCAATGTTTGCTGTTCAAATGGCTCATGGCTGATATAATTATATAATATTATGTGTACAAATAAGTTTTAGGAGAAGGTTAAGGTTTAGGACAGTTTTAGGACACTTTGCCGTTTGGTATCATTTTTTATTCACTCAATGCCCAACTATCGCACGTTATTTAAACCCATTCTGCTCCATTTAAGTCAGTCAAACCGTGACGGATTCATTTTGATACTAAAAAAACAAAAGTCGGTATTTCCGTTATAACCGCAGAAAATAGAAAATAATTATTTCTTTTCCAATTTAGGCCCATAATATCCCAAAATTGAACCTTTGATGAATATTTCCCACCGTCAATTCCACGATTTAATTATTTTTATTTGACTATATCCGCATGCCCATGTCCCCCTCAAAAAAGGGAGACATGGGCACTTACATTTTCATTCATTTCGGGAGAGACGGTCACCTATTTTTTCTTTTTCGATAGCTCCTCCAAATGAAAAACCTTGGAATATGTATTCAGCAGGGTAGGACGGGGTAAAGTAGTACACGGGCAAAGCGGAACTCGGGAGACAATGAAATGCGCAGCAAAGTGGAACGCAGGGCGAAATGGAACGGTACTAAATTTCGGATTTCAGTGACTACAGGACGTTCTTTATGTTTTTAAGAATCGAACAATCCTTGAGGACGTTTGAAATTGAGGGTCAAAAAGTGTTAAGAGTCAAATGACTCTTACGGACGTTGGAGACAAGGGTCAAATGGTCATCAGGGTTAAAAATGAAAAAAAAAATCGATAATGTTTGTTTGTTTTTTTTTTAAATTGTTGTTCATCATGATTTTTAATTTTACCTTGCGTCCCAAACTGTTCTATTGTCCACTTTGCTCTACTACTCTCCCTTAGTTGAAAAAGAAAGAAAAAAAAATGAATGGCGAAAAGATCACAATGAAAATCCGTTTCATTATTTTTTCCAATCCATAGATCATTTTTCAATTATCATTTCCATTTTTTAATGTGAAAACTGAATCAGAAATAACTGAAGAGGAGTCACAATAAACAAAAATGAATAGGAGTCACATTTTTTTCCATTAATTACTTCAAGAAGTTTGAATGTAATAACATGAGTAAATTTTCGACGTACGAAATATTGTTTATTGTCGCACTCTCGAAATTTTTGAATTCGAAACTCGCGCCACCCATGTTCTCAGACGCACATGAAAATCGACCCTTTCACCAATAAATGGAGGAAAATCCCTAGCCGCCCTCTAGGGTTTTCAGGTTCAACTGGTCACGTGGTCGGCAAAACCTGTCATGGCGGATCTCATTGTTTACTTTGTCAATTCAAGTGGTGTTTACCAGGCACAAGGCAGGACTAATCGTGAATCATAAATTAATGAAGGTTCGAAGTGATGGCACCCACTATATATAAGCGAAAACGTAATTCTAATCGTGAAAATTGGAATGAAAATGATATGCAATGCCATACGACTCGAGGAAATGTGTGTTCTGACAGCTTTCAAAACATTCGGAGTAACTCGCACCACACTTCAAAATCGTCTTAAGACTGGTCATTCAAAGAAGATCGCTATGGGAGGGCCTCCCTGGCTGGGGGTAGAGAACAAACGTATTCTTGTGGACAGAATAAAAGAGATGCAACAATGTGAATTTCCTTCAACACGAGATGATGTGAGAACTGCAGCATTCCAACTCGCTAAGGAAATGGGTATTGCCAAGAAATTTAACGAAGAGGAAGAAAAAGCTGGATATGGCTAGCTTACGTTATTTTTGCTCCGTTACAAAGAACTGAGTATTCGAGTACCAGAGAGCTTATCACTCGCACGAGCACAAGATTTCAATCGTCGTGAAGTAGAGGATTATTTTGAGTTGGTTCTGGAGGCTCTGTATGACAATTCACTGTGTAATAAGCCACAAAACATTTGGAATATGGATGAAGCTGGATTGGAAATAAATAATAAGTCTGGGAAGGTTAGTGTCCAAAAAGGTACACGAAATGTGTACTCCACAACGTTAGCTGAGAGAGGAGAACATGTGACACTGGTAGCTTGTTGTAATGCACAAGGACAATTCTTGCTACCAATTGTCATCATGAAAGGTAAGAAGAAAAATCAGGATTGGGAAGAAAATTTACCTCCAGGATCTCACATCTATATGTCTCCAAAATCATCGTACATCAACAGTGAATTGTTCATACGGTGGCTGGAAGAGGCATTTTTCCCAAATTTGACGGGCCCAAAGAATTTGCTGATTCTTGATGGACATGGTTCCCACATGCAGTACGCAGCCCTCGAATTATGTCGTCAGCATGACGTAATAGTGGTATGTTTACCAAGTCACACGACTCATAAGCTGCAACCCCTGGACGTCTCTATCTTTGGCCGCTTGAAGGATAAATTCAAAGATGCCTGCAATAAATGGTTTAAGACCCAGCAAGGACAACGACTGACTCGATATCAAATAGGAAGAATCATCAAGAGGACTTGGGATCAAACAGCTATACTAAGTACAGCATCAGCAGGCTTTAGAACTACTGGGATACTTCCTTTCAATTTAGATATCATCCCATCGAGTGATTTTGCAATTGCTGCCAATATGAAACGAGAAGAACCTGTGAGTTTACAACTGTCTTCATCTAGGTGTGTATAAAATGAACGTTTATTTAATTATAACCTAGATAAACAACATTTTCTCCTCCAATAAATTTTAATGTGACAATTCTCCAATTTTTGTTTTCGATCCAACTTTTGTTTGTTCCTTCTTCTCTTTCCCGAATTTTTTCCATTCTGAGAGAATTGCCAGAGATATATTCTATGGAAATTTGCGTAGGTACAAACAAATTTCATAAAATTTAGCCTTGAAATCTTTCCAGGATGACAATTTTTTTCTACAGGAACCAAGCTACAGCCTCATCAAGCATTGAAAGTGAGAACATTGACAGTGATAATCGTGATTGGGTAGACTCAACTCATTTTCAAAATCCTCAACGAAATCCTCTGCCCAAACATCGAAACTCCAAGACCTCAAAACGTTCGACCTTCCAATCAACTAGCATCGATGAATTTCTACCAGAATCACCAAAATCGAAAACAAGTGGGATGTTTGTTTTTTTTTGTATAGTTTTCTTTGCTAATAAATTAGCAATATGCTTCCGAATGAATATGATTCTCAGTTTCAATATTTCCTTCATGATTTTCTTAATGACAACTGTTGTATGGTTCGGTTGCCTCCTAGTTTGAATTAAAATTGTAAATTCATTACAATTATAATTTTTAAAAATTATTTCTGTAGTTATTCTCATAATTTTTTTTTATTATTAATGTAAATACAATTGTTTTGTTTAAAATTTTCCAATTTGAAATTAACATTTTTTTTATGCTCTTAGAAACTCCCTTCAAATTCATTTGTTTATTCTTCTTCTTCGATAATTGCCCTTTCATGATTTAGTACGCTTCCATGATAACTTATTTGGTTGAATTGAAATATGTGCCATTGAAATGGACATACATTCTCTCTACGAGGATGATATTCATCAAACCATTCTGGAAATGAATTTCTTATTAATGGAATGGCGTTCCTGAAACTCATCACGTGTAAAGAAGTTGATTTCGTTAATATTTCGTATTTTCAAGAAAATTATGTGTGCGAAATATACTATTTTCAATCATAAATGAATTTTTTATTTTCGAGGTGGTGAAACTTTAAAGTAACGAAATTTACTTCATCACCGTTGTGCCTGTGTCTGTTGTCTTGTTGCACTTCTTCCCAACCAAAAAATATGCGTGGATCATACACGATTATTATGTATAACCTCGTACCATCATTTATCAAAAAAGCAAATGTCCATCTGTTTCTCATCCATTGGAATCCAATGTCCATGTATCGTACACCCCAGAGTCTATAGGATTTTTGAAAAGCGGTTAATTGGTTTTGTTTATTATGTTATAATCAATATTGGGAATACTTACGTTTATGGGACATTCTCAGTAACATGCGTTATTCTATTTTGAAAAATTAGGTTTGCCATTTTATGGTAAATATTAAAAATTGAATAAAAAATCTATAATTCTCAAAATGAGTAAAAAAAAAAGTGCTTTCAAAATCATTTAATATATAAATTAATAAATGATGAACGTTGAATAAACACTCAATTTTTGTTTTTATTATTATTATCATTGTGATTAATTCTAAATTTCGCGGTATTTTGCTAAAATATTTTTATTCGTAAAAATTAAACAGTGTGTATCGTCATAATTGAAGATAAAGTAAATGAAAATTTTGTAGTCTGGTGTAGTCTATTCTTTGATTTTTCTTTTTGAATATTTTTTTTTTAATCGTATAATATTTAATAATTAATTTGGCAATTTGAATGAGAAGTTTTTTATGTGGAGGAATGGGAATATATGTGATCCAATTATTAGTCAAAATAGATCATTTCATCTTCACCACACTTGCGGATTTGACAGTATATTTCAAATTTTAATTTCAGCATGTCGTTTACAAGGTTTTCGGGATAGCGTTATTCATTCGAACAGTCGAGAATTCAATTTAATCAAACACATAATGGAAAATAACATCTGGAACGAAGAATACGTTGAACAATGGAGATCAAATATATTTCAATCAAAAGACCATTTCATCGGAAATCAATTAATCATGTCGAACGCTACTATCATCAACACATTGACATCAATATCAATATTATGCCCGATAATTTTTAATCAAAATCCAAGCTACTCCATGAAATTCGAGTGTTTATTATGTAATGAAACAATGGTTAATGAAGTGATGATTGAACTAGATCTTGCATCGATATGTGAATATGGACATCTTTACTTCCAACATTTTCAGGAACTAATAGACATAACGATATGTGGTATCTTCAATGAAAAAAAGATACAATGTACACAATGTAATATTAAAAATGTGAATTTCCACGATCATCTTTTCATAAATTCATTCTTTTCGTCTCAATTCCATCAGATCATAAACTTCGAATTCCTATACATGATCTTCCAATAAAATTGAACGTCAACAATGAGGAATAATATTTAGCGGGAATAGCAAATTTTCATGAAGCATGTATAATGAGAGGGAACAACTGGATAATTACAGATGATTGTCACCCTGAAAGAATTTTTAGAATTCAATCATCTTATCAAATTAATCCCCATTTATGCATCTATGTGAAATAAGGGAACGGTAAGAAATTTTTTATTGTGACCAAAAATTGAGTAAATCATCAAAACTTACCGACCGAATATAATTTAATTTATATTGTTGTGTATTTCAGTCACGATTCACTACACATGTGACACTCACGCATCAGTGAACAAGAAAGAAAACAGTATCTGTCTCATTTTGAAGAGAATTCAACATCAACCATTCATTTCATCGAGATCAATACGAGATTATTCTTGGTAACCGCGGTAACCAATCGTGTACAAGAACTTGAGAACAAAGTAAAAGAAGAAATTGGAATTAGACAGAGTCGAAACCTGTTCTCTTTTATAATTTTCCGTCTGGGTTTTTCAAAAAGAACAAAGGGTTAAGAACCCAAGATAATTGAGAAACTTCAATTACTCTTAATGAATGGATAGTTGTGAGGATGACAATATATGTGTACCTCCACGTGAAAAGGGCTCACTTTTTCGCATCTAGTTTCCGAGATATTCACGTTTTTCTCTCGACATCTCCCATTTAAACCAATGTTAAATTGTATTTTTGATCGTCTATACTGACGTCAGTTTTCATTCTATCTTGTTGATTTTGGGCTCAAAATGTGAGAAATCTGATCAAGATTATCGGAACATACATAACTCCAATACCGTCAAAGTGGGCCCTTTTCATGTGGACGCCCACATATATTCATGAGAAAGGGGAATAATGTATTGCATTTTTTATTTCATTCTTTGTTACTCTAAATCAATCCTACATCTCCTCTTAATTTAATCTTATATATAATAAATCTGTTGGCGATTCTTTGTGTGCGATTCACGCAAAAACCACCGAATGGATTTCAATGGCATTTTGGCTGTTGATAAGTTTAGGGTCCCCATTAGGACATAGGCTATGATTTATTCAAATTGAACATTGAACTCTGTGGGACATGAAACCTCAATCGAACATTAATGAAACTTCAATTGCACCACAATGGAACCCCAATTAAACAATAATTGAACCTCCATTAGACTTACATTGAGCCTTGCTCCACCGGGAGCTGGATGAAAGGAAAGTTGGACTTAACAGCAACTAAAACTCCGATGGAAATGGTAAAAATCAAACTCTTTCTCGTTTCCACTGCAGTTTGAGTCGATGTTTAGTCCACCTCTCCTCTCATCTAGCTCCCGGTGGAACTAAGCTTATGAATCTCAATTGAGGCTGAATTAACCCTCAACTAAACTCCAACTCAACCTTGATTTGACTCCAACTAAATTCTGTAGTAACCTTAACTCAACTCCAACTAAACCTTCATTAACCGGAACTAAACTTCAAATAAATTTCGACGAACTTCGACTTAACTTCGACTGAACCCCGACTAAAGCTGGACTAAACCCCAGCGAAACCATAACTCAACTCAGATTGAACCCAGATTGACCTCAGATTGAACCCTGATTAAACCCTGACTAAACCCCTACTGAACCCCAACTAAACTCTGACAAAATCCCAACTAAATCTCGACTAAATCCCGACTAAATCCCGACTGAACCCCAACTAAACTCCGACTGGACCCCAACTAAACTCCCACTAAACTCTCACTAAACTCCGATTAAACTCCAACTAATAACATACATACAAAACAAGGCTATAACTCAAGAGTGAATAATGCTATTGCCACCATCTTCGAACTCAGTCAACATACTATCAATGCGAATTTTTTTAGCCCTCATTGAATCGATTTAAATGATTATTTCCCGGGTGATCGTCGAAAAAAGAAATTTCGAAAAATGTAAATATCTCGGAAACAATACGATCGATTGAATTCTGCGTGGGGTCAATCGAAAGCGCTTATCAGCGCCTACATTTTGAAGAAAAAATTATGAAATTCCATCGATTGGTTATGGAGAAAAACGTAAAACAAAATGTCACACACATACATACATACATACGCACATACAGACACCTTCTAAAAATAGCATATTCGGACTCCTGGGACCAAACTTAGTCACCCCAGCACAAAAAATCAGAAGAATAAAATCGAACGATTACAATGCTTCCATTCGGAAGCAAAAATTAGCGGAATATCAAGACCAGGACCAATACCTGTATCTCAACGCTCTTCATACGTCTTCCAACAAAGTCCAAGGTCCCTGAGTATTCAAATACAAAATCGTCAGTAGGAAGCGAGTACCAAGCTGATAATAACAGCTCTTCAACTGATGAAGAGGTTGATCTCATGGAATTGAGACGGGGTAGGGCATCGTTGGTACCTGGACCTACACAACAGGATATCTCTCGAAAACTTCGCTCTGCTGATGCTTCTAATGATCTTGAAGTTGATGAGAAAGAAATGAATGCATCCCCTGCACCAATCTCACGAGGAGACGGTCCTTCTAAGAGTTCGAGGCAGAATTTCCTACGTACAACGTCCTCAAGGGAAACTGGCATTGATGAATTTCTATCAAAATCAACAAAATCGAGTGAAAAAAAAGAAGTATCAAAAATATCATCAATACCTGTATCTCAACGTTCTTCAGTACGTCTTTTAACAAAGTCTGAGGTCCCTGAGTATTCGAATTAAAAATCGTCAGTAAGACGTAAGTACCAAGCTGATAATGACAGCTCTTCAACTGACGAAGAGGTTGATCTCACGAAATTGAGACGAGATCGAGCGTCGTTGATACCTGGGCCTACAAAACAGGATAACTCTCGTAAATCTTCTTCTGCTGATGCTTCTGATGATCTTCAAGTGGGTGAGAAAGAAATGAATGCAGACTCTGCATCTATCCCACGAGGATTCGTTCGTTTGACAAGATCCACGATGCATTCTATGACTGCAAACTCCTCAACTTTAGCTGACATCAACAAACCTCTGCCAGAGGGAACAAAAGTAAAAAGACTAACCAGAAAATCTCTGACAAAATCTGCACAAAATATTGATGATACAGAAGTTCCTTCTAGCAGTGAGTTGAACGATTCTGCGATTCCTACCAAACGGTTCATCAGAGAAACCTCCAAACGAGCCGCGATACCCACGAGATCCAGGAGAGAATTCATTACATCTGCTTCCAAAGTGTCCGATTTCCATGGTGAATGTGCTCCTGCAACTGTGCCTGCAATGAATCAGACATCTCCACGAAAATTTAACTTAAAGGACAAGCAAGACGAAAATTCTTCGACTCAGGCTTCTTCCAGTAGGAAAAAATACTCCCATGATCTATCATCAATATGTGGATGGACGAAGAATAATTGTAATTCTCAGAATTCTGCCAGGAAATCAATCCATATCACGGACATCAGACCAATCCACACGCGATATCGTATTGTTGATCTCCAGCAAATTTCTCCGAAAAAGTTGAGTGAACTCACGATGGCTGCATTAAAGACGATTGATAAAGTCATGCCTATCCTAAAACTGAAATTCCAGCCGGGCAAAAGAGCGAAACAGGGAGCTTCAATTTTAACATCTGCAGTCAACATCGAACGAGCCAAATCTAGAGCAGAACGAGTGAAAAAGACTGAATCGAAGAAGAATGCTCGAGGAGTAGTCAGTGGAAAGGAGGACAAAATAAAGAAACAGAAACCAAAGAAATCTTCAGATGATGCTTCATGTGTGGGATGTGGAGAGCTCCATTCCCAGACGCAATCAACAGTCAACTGGATCGAGTGCGTCCAATGTAGAAAATGGCTTCATGAAACATGTATTACATGAATGGCCTCATGAAACATGTACTACATTTGGCGATTATTGCAACAAATGTGGAGTTGAAAAACCTCGCATCCGACTGAAGATTGAAGGTGATAACGGTGGAAAATATTTTTGTGTCTCCCTATGCTTAATATATTTCTGAAAAAAATAATACCTTTTTTTAATCATTTCAGGTTGAAGAGAGAGAGAACATTGGATTCAGGAAATTATTTCAGAACGAAAAAAATGGAATTCCTGACGACAGAAGGATCGAATAAGTGTTAGTTTTTAATATATTCTTCAGACTGTTAATTAATTTTATCGTTTTTTATGGAGAAATTTAACTGTGTAGAAAATTGATTTTAAACCTGGACTTTGGGGTCCCATTAATTGAAGACGAAGTCGTTATTATTATTATCTGTGATCAGCAATAATATATAAAATTGTCCAAATATGTGAATAGATGTTACTTTTATAGAACAAATCGATTTGCATTTTTCTCCCCTCTGTTATTCTCACTGTCCTCATCCCCTCATGCCTGTTTAGTCGTTATCCATGGATATAGGCCAATTGATCATTATGAAGGAGTAGTGATTCATGATTTGACCTATTTTCATGGAAAAAGATCAATTTCTACAAGAATTCGTAGACATATTGCAAAATCTAGGCCTTATTTAGTAAGTGCCCATTTTCCCCGACTGTGCGAAGGAGATGGGCACTTTCTCTTTTTTTAGAATAATTTTTTTGTAGGCACAGTTTATGAGTAAAAATTTTCTTCTCCGTGTACTTTGTAGATAAGACCTGTAATGATTTTTCTGTAGTCTCAACAAATACTCAAAAGCCCCAACCTAAAATTTCTCAATTATCTTAACACGGCTAAATCATTATCTTCGGCCTCGCGATCAACCAAACCTGCAACACCAAAAACTCAACAACAAAACAGAACTCCGCGAACGATCAGCAGCTCATCCAAACCTTGCTTCGATTATTTAGGGCGCCAGCCGATTTTTAGCAACGCGGAATCGACGAACCGCAACCCATATTGCCTTAAAACTAAATACTAACCATCCCCGAGATTCGAAAAGAGACACAACAAAACCCAGAAGTTCAAATTCAGGAATGGCGATCACGAGAGTACGGGATTTACTCGCTTGCTCAGTGTGCGGGTCGTGGAGAGAGGGGTGGATTCGTGGACAAGAAAACCAATAACCAAAAAACCAATCCTTCATCAAGAGCTCAAAATCCAATATCTTAATTCTAAATAGATCGGGGTAGGAAAAATCCAATGATAAAACATAATTATACGGACATGTTCTGCTATTGCCAACATTTTACACAATTCTCGATTTTACAATTACAAATTTTATACAATTTTTGACTCTAAATAATTTCAAATAGGGAATGAATAATCCCAAGGACTCGAAAAACTAATAAAATAATTTTATTATGGAAACAGAAAAGATCCCAACTAAAAGTTAGCAGAGAGATAGGCGAAAGTATTATCCATGCGGTGCGCATGAATCTGAGAGAGAGAGGACGCGTGGAGGTAGCTGAAGAGCGAGAGAGAGCGAGCGAGGTAGCTACACGAATGTGAGAGAGAGTTATAGAAAATTTATGAAATTTTCTCTAATTTCTCCTAATTATTCGCATTTTCTACTTTGGAGAGCCTTTTTCCTTTATTTTCAGTCATTTGGCCATCTCTAAGACGCGATGGGTGGATTATTTCCACTAGAAATTATTAAAAGGAGAGCCAGGGAACTTGAATACTTGCCACGTGGCTATTCCACCGGAAGGGTGGTTTTCAAATCAGAAATGGAGGTTTTCTCCATTGAAATCGGCCGATTTTTGTGTCAAACGACTCGAAATCGGATAAAGAGCTAATTAATTAACATTAGAGGACAAAGATTTATTTCATTTATTGTAGATTCCAACCATGAAAATCAAAGGTAACAATCAAGATAGCGTCCCCATGCTCAACCGGAATTCCACAATTAACGAACACTAAAGGTAGCATAGAACGCGTAAAAGTCACATAAAAGATATTTCACGCAGTATGACTTTCCTCCAAAAACTCTTAGGAAAAGACGAGAATGCGGAAAAATAGGTAACAAATAGCAATTTAGTCGAAATAAGGGAATATAGAGAGCAAGTAAATAGGTAGCCAGGGAGCAGATAGCACGTGGCATCGATCGCCGTAGCGAGACGCATCAAAATCACTAATTTTCACATAAATTCGTAATTTAGGTAGCATAAAAAATCATTCCAGGGACTCAGGTAGCTGAACCCTTTCCAAAATATTGATGTCTTATTGAAGTGTTGATGAAATAGATTTTTTTTTAAATTAAAGTACAGTCAGCCCCTTTCTAATAAGCTTAGACTGAGCTCAATCGATAAATTTCTTGGTTATAAATATTGAAATACGAAGTTAGTCCATTCCACCCAATGTTTCCCTAATATTTTTAAAAACAAAAAAAAACAAAAACAGATGTTTTCAAAAAGAATTCTTTGTAAACATTTTGTTCGACTATTTCTATAAGGAAATCAATTCATCTCTCCACGAAATACAATCCATATAGGAATCATTAGAGCAAAAATTGAATGAGGAACCAAATCAAGTCATAAAAATCATTAATACATGATTAAAATTTGAAATTCGGTTGAGAGAATAAATCTGGAGTAGAACTGTTTATCTCCCTTCAATTGTTGATTCAAAAAATGTTCTATCTTATGAAAAATAAATCAGTTAAATTGAATTGAAAAGAACAAATTTCACCGGATGTAAAAACAGTCCTTGCTTATTTTGAAAAAAATAATGAAATCTGCCGAAAAACACAAAAACAAATGTTTTTCTAAAAAAACTGGGGCAAGAAAAACTTTTGTTTGATTTCTACTGGGAAGTCGAAGTTTTTGAAAAATATATAGAAATAAAAAAGGAAGCCAAGTTAGGAATATTGAATAAATGGTGATAGTGCACAATCAGGGTCCTATAAGAATAGTTCTCAATGGAATAAGTATTCTAAAAAAATTCTCCATGAAATAAAAAATCAGTAGGAGCAGGACCAACGTTTTTGGCGCGGAGTTTTTCAATTCACTGTCTGTATCAATCTACTACTCCATCCTTTGATCCGCGCCAAGGACATTGGTCCTGCTCCTACTGATTTTTTATTTCATGGTGAATGTTTTCAGAATACTTATTCCATTGAGAACTATTTTTCTTATAGAAACCTGATTGTACACTATCACCATTTATTCAAAGTTCCAAACTTGGCTTCCTTTTTTATTTCTATGTATTTTTCAAAAACTTCGACTTCCCAGTAGGAATCAAACAAAAGTTTTTCTTGGCCCAGTTTTTTTACCAAAACATCGTTTATACCAATACTCACATGTACTTTTAGATACAATGTTGTCCCCAAGAACAGAACAAATCGATTGACATACTTTCCTAATAGTTTTTCCTTGATGGAATTCATAGCGAATGCAGTGTCTAATAAATAGCTTATCGGTCTGCATGTTTTATTCGCAGAATTTGAGGTTATATTTATGACTCCCTTATGTTTTGATACTACATAACAAACCCCACCATATCATATGTAAATGGAAACTTTGAATTACTTTCATGACACGGAATCGAAGCATCCTAAAACTTATTTGTACACCTAATAAAAAAACCTTATTGTCCGACATTCGGTAGATGGACAATGTAATTTATCGATTTGATTTGTTTTGGTAGGGTACTAAAGGAACTTGAAGAATGACGGTGCCGACAGAGAGAGCCCTGCATGAAGCTATTCAGGTCGCCCCTCTAGATCTCCCTGATGATGTCAAACGACAAAAGGTAAGAGACGGGAGATGGAAGAAATTAGTTTGTACAGATAAAAGTCATAAACTCTCTTGATCTTAATTCATTCTATATTGAGATGGAATGATTAGATTTCATACAAAAAAATTCCTCTGCTCTTTTCGTTTTTTTGGAAATAACCATTGATAGGGGTTATGAATGGAGCAATCATATAGATTTTCCAGTTCTCTTCCGCATTTTCCTCCTTCCTCGAATAAAAATATATGGAATAATATTGTCATGGATACGTACAATTTCATCGTCACTATAAAGCACCGTTCAATACTGTGGAAAAATTAATGATAGATCAGCTGCGGTCACGAGAATTATACGTAAGTGTCCAAAGTGATAAAGACGATTGGCACATCGATGAATGTTCGATAATAGTTTTTTGTTGCGGTGAAAATTCAAAATAAGTGTTCTTCGTTCAGAAATTTAGAATTTGGAAGCTAGGAGTGTATCAGTGTTTTGAGAATCAATATTATCATATTTTTTCGTGAAGAGGAGCAAGTCTGGGGACTGGTCACTTTAGTTCAGAATTATCTATCCATGACATTATGAAACTTATTATCATCAAGGGTCATTTATATAGACCATTTTAGTGACCTGAACCTGAATATCGCTCTGTTTATCAATGCCTTGCGATTATAAGTTCAGTGGGATGAATGCATAAACTGTATCGTTATTTTTCTTTACGATTGAAATCATCTCTATACATTTCTGTAATGATTTATTCACTGAAAAAACTGCGAAATTATGGCATAAATCTAATATACTCAATATATTCCGTTTATTATCAGGCGATTGAATCAATGTCAAAATTATGATAGAATTTTTTCGATTACTTTCCAAGTCTGGATGTTGACAATCGCAGTGTAGTATTAGAGGGATCGTGGTTCATTTTTCAATGAATTATTTTTGTTATTTTCCTCATTCAGAGGTTAGCCAATCAGGGCATAGTATCAGAGGCTACCCACTAGTTTTATGGCGGAAATTTCCTCCTACTCCTACATTTACATTTCCTCAAAACTACGCTCCGATTAGCCGAAATACGAGTGAGGAATATCTCAATAAATAACTCACCACTCGTGTTCCAAAATTAATCTATTATTTCCCTAACAGTGCACTCTACACTCAGAGGAAAAGAAATATTTTCTCCACTGAGTCCTGCTGTCACCTATCGTCCCACTTTGATCAATGGATTTGATTGCGAGAAAGAGGTGACGTAAAGTTGCTGTTTAAAGCTCCTTAAAGCGTTACCTGCCTCATAAAATATCCGACCTCCAGTGAGCTGTGTCACATTGCATCGGTTCTGCATTCCTCCGTCCTATTCTTTATGATCGTTCCCGGTTTCTTATATTTTTTTTATTGTGCGTGGATCATGAGGCATATGCCGGTGTTTGGGCGCCATATACATATAACATGATAAAATTGCATAATTTTCAACAGAAAAAATCGAAAAAAATAGAATTATTTTATAGAATATTCATAGAACTCTAGTAGATTGATAGAGTTTTAATAGGAATTCAATAGATTTTTTTATATAAAAATGCTATATTTTTCTTGTGATTTTTTTCACAAATTGTTTGCTTTTTTCTATTTTGTCTTCTCTGTTGTGTATTTGGTTTTTCGTCAGTGAGGGGGGGGGGCGCTTGACTCGCCCACCCTCTTCTAGGAGCTCTGCCCCCTGGACCTCGCTTCTGCGCCCTCGCCCAATCCCCTTTGGCGGGACTCTGTGATAAAAAGTAGGTTATGTCACTGATATCCTCGGATTGTGAGTCGTCTGAAGTTTGCAGTACAAGGCGTCGGTAAGTCGAACACAAAGCTCGTCAAAGGCTCACAAACCTCGGGTTATCGGTATTATTACATAATTTACTATTTCTCAAACGGGTCTTGTTTGAACCGAATGAATTGCAGGTTGAAAATTACAAAAATTAAATTTAGTACACACTGCTTGAAAACTGTAATGACATGGCGGATTTTTATCGTAAACATTCCACTGTGGGTTTCAACAAATTGTAATTTTCTGTGCCAGCAAGAAATCTTATTTCTAACTCCACCTACTCACTGCCACATGTTTTTTCCTCCCGAGAGTACTTCGTTTCAAAACAATAGAAACTAGTTTTAAAATCCATCATTCTACCATCAGCTCGCGTTTTCAATCTGTAAAACTGATGTCTCTCATTATTACGCGAGAAATTAATATATAATTATACAGATAATTTTGAGGATCTGGCGAAATCATAGCAGATAATTATGCATTCTATCGAATAATATCAAGAGGCCTCTCTAGTATTTGACGAATTTTCGGGCAGAGAATACACTGACAAAAAAAACTACTTTTGTCATGGAATTATTGTCTTGAGAGAAGAATTAATTTTTTTAAGAGCGTATTTCTCGAGGCCAGACAATCGCACGTGGTCCAAGTCCATCTTCAAATATTATAGTTATATTGAATTATGGGGTGATTATACTACATATTGTTGCGGACACTTGAGTGTTAATCACCATGAAATAATAGGGATAAAGTAACTTCTCGAAAATGACCGGGAAAGGGAAATAAAAATATTCCAGTTCAATAATTTGAATATGAGTGGAAAAGTTGAGGGGTGAGTGTATAATTTCGTCTGTTTGTTTAACTTACGATTGTTGAGGATTTCAAAGGAGGTGGTTACGACCAGTCAGACGCACTCTCTCAGGATCGTCGATATTTCCCTAGAACCTGGGGATGTGCCGGAAGGTCGGATGGCTAGTGAGCCAGGCTGAAAGGTTGTAGTGATGATGTCGATGGTGTTGATGGGGATGGTCCTGGAGCCTCTGGCGCCTCAGTAGGGATTGAAAATTATGACGATGTTGACAGTATTATTGAAATTGACCGGTGATGTCATCAATTTCATGAAGTTAAAGGATACTTCAGAACTCGAGTCTCGGAAGTGGATAATCTTGCAGACAGCAGGCAAATAACTCAGTGAATTCAGGACTGTGAGTCAGCACAGATGACTCACTTGGATAGTGAGTATGAAGCAACTCGTTGAATTCAGTGTGTAAAGAATACCCAGGTCTTAGTTTGGAAGGGTCGACTCGTATTGTGTGGTCTTGAAGAAATTACCGGGTAGGGTTGATGAAATTGGTACAGGAACTGACTGAAGACTCGGTGAATAGAAAGTAGAGGCAAAAAATTAGTTTCCCACAGGATTTCACTGCTCTACGTGAGAGCAAACAGCAAAATCTCGGTTTAGGATGCCCACACTGGTACAGTGAGGGATGAAGGCTACCAGAGTTGAGCCGCCACGAAGAGTCCAAGCTTCTCGATGATGCGAAAGACGGTCTTAGATGAAATTTGGATGAGAGTGAATCAAGTTAGAGTTTAGACTTGGTCCAAAGTGACATGGTGCGAAGTGACCGTCACAAAATTTAAATTTAGAATGACAGCGGAATGTTCAAATTCACTCTCTTATATACGAATCTGCTTCCATCACTCTATCGAAGGTGTAGAGAGTGGCCCGTTAGGGTAACCCAAAAGGGGTCCATGGGGTCATAAATTAAAGGCGATTTTCCTGTCTTTTGGCTGCCAGAATATATGAAATAGCTGAGTCCCAAGGTACCATCTGCGCCTTTCAATCTTTCTTTTTGAATGTCCAGCGGTACAGTATATTCAGCTATTTGTTGATAATGGGCTTTGCGGCTTTTATGATTTCGAGTGTGGTTTTTTTCCTTTGGGAGGCCTTCGGTTCCATCTGCATTTCGATGGCTGGGGTGCATCAAACGGAGGAAATTTGAATGATTATCTCGTTTCATAAGTTTCTGTCTTTTTACGTGGTATCCCCGTTACCTATTTGTACTTCATAGATCGATTATTGTCGAATTTCCCCATTTTTTCAGTAATCAGATTCACACATCTGCCGTCTCTTACCATTGGTCATGGAAGAGACGTATCTTTTCGTTGTGCGTTTTGTGGAAATTCTACGGTACGAGGTCCCTCGGGATAGACCGACTCTCATTCGAGTGTCGGTACCGGCGCAACATCTATTTTCTTGAGGCTCCGTTAGAGGGGTAGAGCAAACTCGTTTCCTTTGACTCATATATGGTTGGTTTCTTGAGATTTTACCCCGCACTTATTTCAAATATGATACTGCTGATAATTAACTGGGGTAACCCCAACAATATGACCTTGAATGAACTTCATTGACAATTATTAACATTTGGAATTATTCAAAATCATTTGATGTGAAAAAATTTCAAATTAAATAAATTGAAAAATAATTAAGGGTGTTCATTCAAGGTCATATTTACCATAATGGTCTCATAATTCACCATATTTGTAATATTTGGACATGAACCACCTCAGCATGACTGGCCCGGAGAAATACGCTCCTAAAAAAATGAACTATACTCTCAAGAAAATCGTTCGTTGGCAATAGTAATTTCTTCTTTCTTTATGTTTTGCGTATGCTCCAAAGTTTGCTCTCAAAATGGCTCATTGAAAGAAGGTAACGTTTGTCGTTTAAAAAGAACCGATAGAGACAGGTTTTTCCTTTCAATTATTCAATTATTACATATAGAAATGAAATCTGTGAAAAATCAGTTGCCGGTCGGTCACTTCGCTAGATCCCGGGTAGCGTGTGACTAATAGGTGGTGGATGGAGTCAGAATACCCCCTCCCAGGTAGGCACTGCCAGTGTTGGGAAAACGGCCCACTTATAGCCCAAGCCTAGGCTTGCTAAGCTTTGGCGCCTCAGATTGGTTAGAGGTGCAGTTATCCCTAGGAACTAGTGTTTGAGTCTGGGCAAAGGGACGGGTAACCGATTCTTGGCCAACAGATCTGACCCAGCCTTCGACTGAACATTAACCCGGAGCTTGATCATTGACCTCCTGCCATTGGTGTAATTGTGAGTGTACAGTCGTAAGAATGAGATTATGGGAAAGGAATCAAAGGGGTAAAAATATAATGGTGAAATCTTAAGCGTAAATTTTTGAGCATGCAATCGTTCGGATGA